GTCCAGCTCGGGATCCAGCTCGGATCCACCTCGGGTCCAGCTCGGGGTCCAGCTCGGCGTCCATCTCGGTGTCCACCTCGGTGTCCGGGTCTATGTCTAGCTCCGTGTCTAGCTCGTTGTGTAGCTCGGTGTTCAGCTCGGCGTCCAACTCGGAGTCCAACTCGGAGTCGAATTCGGAGTCCAGCTCGGAGTCCAGCTGGAACCCGGCGACGTCGTGACGCTCCCGCTGCCCACTCGCTGCGAGCGATTGTGGGCGCCGGGCCGTCGCCTGCCGGAGGGCGGGAGGAGTAGGCCTTGTGTCTGCTTCTCTTGCGTCTTCCCCGGGAGGGAGGCTACTGCCCGCTTTTTCCGGCATCCCCTCGTGGGTGGCGGGCTCTCTCAAGGGGCTGGGGAGTCCAAACTTGCCCCGAGAGATCGATCCGGATCCATCTGAGCTGTGAGGCGAGACGGCAAGCTATACAGTATGAGAACGAGGACGGAACACCATTTTTAACTTCGGCCTCCAGGCGTTTTTATTCACCCCGTGACGTAATAACGCCAACCGGTTCCATGCAAGAGAGTACCCAAAGTTGTAGAGCCAATGTGACTGCCCTGCAACGAATCCTTTTTTGTTTGGGCGCCTCTGGGGTCTGCTCTCAGGTAGCCGAGCCCTCTCTCTCTGAACTTGGTGCAGGCTGTGGCGCTCGGAGCCGACGGCAAGTCTGACGGCCGTGCACCGTGGCATTGGCGTGCTATTCCATCAGTGTCCCTTGCATAAAGGCTGCCCTTTGGGCAGAGCTGCAGGCGGTTGTGGTGTGGATCGATCGTGGTGTTGTTCTCTCCACTTTCCGTTCGATAGGTTTCTGCTGCGGAACATACTCGACGCTGCATTTGGGGCTTGGCGACCGTCGCTCCCTTGCTTGGTGTCGAGCGATCCTAATGCACGTAACCCGGTGGGGGGCGTTGACCTCACTAGCCGTAAAGGAGGTAAACTCGGGTTGGTTCTTAATCCGAACAATTTGTTCGCTCGTCCCGGACGTTCGGGAGCACGTCCCGCAATTGACCTTTCTGTTTGCACGCTATGTGGACCTGACCAGCCCATATGGCTCCGGCTTGGCGACGCCCAGCGGGCTGCCCGGCCTGCTCAGTGGGACCATTGTCGAGCAGGCTGGCGGGCAGTCGTTTTTCGATGTTTTCTTGCACTGGGCAGGCGGGCAAGACACATGGCAACATTGCTTGCTAAGGACATCGGTTCGATAAGGCTTACCGTTGCCAAAACTGCAATGCCCGCACTTTCCAGCAGGCTGCGTCCAATCCTGGTGCGAAGTGACAACGCGGGACTGTTATTGCGCAAAACAGGACGTTTTGGAGGTTTTGGTAGTCTTCAACGACTGGCAGTCTTGTGTTTAAGCGCGTGAGAGCACGTATAAAAAAACAGTACAGGTCGCGAAGCAAGGCAAGCTTATGGTAGTGATTTTTCATCTTGTATGGCGCTGACACAGATGCGGTCCCTTATTCAGGGAGACGTTCACCCACGTGGCTGTGATGCGTGGGTAGTACTCGTCACAAAGGTTTGTGCCTACGACACCCGGTAAACTTGTATTTCGGAAGCACCGAAACATGTAATGCCAGGTTTTTTATGGACGCGCTGCCATTGGAAGAGCTCAAAACTCTTAAGCAGAGCCGAACTTCTCCGCGTTTGAGCACAGTTCTTAGCTGCGGCCGGACTGGATGTGATGTACTTCCGCGACAAGTGCTAATGCAGCAAACCACGAGCCGAATATATGTGACTGGCGCCGCCTACTGGCCCTTCGGTTAGTGGCGGGCCCCTGGCTGCGACCGGTTTTTTCCTTTACTATCGACATGGAAGTTACATGGGACCAGGGCCAACTGGCCTCAGCAGGCGCAACGCTGTTAAAAAAACGGCCTCATGACCGTCATCACCGCCATATGGCCCGTCTCCGGCCCTCGTCCACCAATGCTGGCTGCCGTGTGCGGCGCTCGGTGACTGGTCTCTCGGCGCGGCTCGCTCCCGGGTCGTCGCGGTGGACTGAGCGGCGCCGCCCTCCGGCCGCCCTCAATCCTCCCTCTGCCAGCGCTGAGCGATGTGGGTGGCGGCGGAGCGGAGGTCGGCGCAGAGGAACTGCCGCCCGAGCGAGCCGCTCCCGCCAGGCCGGCGGCCCTAATGGCCGCGAGCGCGGGCCGCGACCGACCGGCAGCGTTGTTTACATCTGCCGCGCGAGCGGAATGAGAGCGATGCCGAATAAATTGCGGATGCCCGCCCAGCATCCGGAGATGGTTTTCCCGATGGCGGGTCACGGCGCGTGCGGTCGGGCTCGGCCGTGTGGTGCGATCTGCCCCGGCGCCCGTCCTGGCGGCGGCGCTGGAAGGTTGTCCGGCGGGCGGCCCGCCCTGGGCCCGGCGGCCCGCCCTCGGCCCCGGCGGCCCGCCCCCGGCCCCGGCGGCTCACCCCCGGCACCAGCGGCCCAGATGGATAGAATCGCCTGCAGTGCAGGTCCCGGCAGCAGTCGCAGCCTGGACGGAGTTCCGGTCGCCATGAAGCAGTCTCAGCGGCCGAGGCGCCGCTAAACCCTCATCTTCATCGGCCTGCGAATACGGATCAGCGCCGCCGATCGGTCGGCTCCATGGCAGCCCGTGTGGTGATGACGCAGCTCGTCGGGCTCATCGTTGATGGAGCCGAGGCCGCGCCAGTGCTGGGGGCGGCGATGTCGACCTCTGCAGCGTGCGCGGCGGCGATCGACGCGGTCCGCACAACCGGCTCGGTCTCGCTTGCAAGCCCGACCTGCTGTTTAGCGGCGTGCGATCGCGTCTGCCGGCGTTGGAGTGAGCGGTTCCTCCGTGGCGCCCGGTGTGCCGGCACGCGGACGTGCCGCGGCGCCCGGCCCGCGATCCCCGCCGGCCGTTGAGTCCGCTCCGGGCCGGCGGTGAGCGATGAGGCTCCGGTCCGGCGCCGCTGCGAATGCTCCGACGGCCGCTGCACTCGCCGATCCGGCGCCTACGACCGGCCGGCGTGACGGCGCCGTGAATTATGCCGTTCCGTTTCATCAACGGCCGGCCGGCCGCCGCTTACCGCGCTGATGTATGGTGTCGCGGCGCCGGCGCCCAGCCGGTGCGTGAGAGTCGCTGAATACGCCGGCCTCCCGCCGACGGCGCACAAGTTCGTTGTTTGTATCGCGGGCACAGGAGCATACCGCCTAGCCGGGCTGTAAACAAGCCGCTCAAGTCAGCCTGCGCGCGGCAGACGTGTCCGGGCTGTTGGGCCTCCCCCCCCTTGCCGTCCGCCCGGGCGGGGCGCGGATCGGGCGTGGTCTGGCGCTGGCCGGAGGTCGGAATAACCGCTCCGCCCACCAGCCGCCCATCGCGCGGCCCCATTTGCGTGTAAATGCGTGGCTCCGACGGCGCGGCGTCGGCGCCTGATTCTGTTTGCGCTCCGGCAATGACGCGCCGCGCCCGGGGGCGGCCGGGCCGCCGGCGGCGACGCACGCCGGCCGTCGCGAGCGGTGCTTGCCGGCCGGCGGGCGGCGGCAGCGCAGGGCGTGACCGGTGGCGCTCTGTCGCGGTGGCGCCCGTTAGGCACGTCGGACCACGGCGCGACGTGCTCGGCCACCCACTTCCAGCGCCGCCCCCGGCTCCCGTGCGGGACGTGGGACTGCTGTCGGCTGTCTTGCTCTGCCTCGCCCCTTAGTTCGTCTTGTCAGTGAATGTGGCGTAGCCTGCAACGTGCATATCCGAATACGCAACATCTGATCTACTGATCTGCATGTACTTTTGCCACAAGTGTTCACTCTGCAATCAAATCTACCACACTACAAGTGCTCGTTGTGTATATCTGTACCACCTGCGCTCTATCCTGCATATCTTGTAACTGTATCTTGGCGTGCGTGTATCTTGGTATATTTTGTATATGTATCCCTCTTTTTATTTCCTTTTTCTGCGCTCCTCTAACTCCTGTTCTCCCATTTTCTTTTCTGTTTTTTTTTCTGTCCTGCGATGTCTTATCATGTATTGTCGTATCCAGGCCTATCCTTACCTCTCATCTCGTCGTCACTGGGGCTTTACGACGCACTCAGCTGCTGGGGCTTTATGGCCCCGCCTGCCTCTCACCCCGGCAGTGAGAGCCGTAACCGCAGGGCATCGAATACCGTACGTCTGGTTTCCCAGACGCCCGGCTTAGCCAGTACCCTACCGGTACCAGCCTCTGCTCTCATCTCATTTCATTTCATCTCATGTTATGTCATTCATTTCATTTCACTTCATTTGATTACATTACATTTAGTCTCATCTCATCTCATCTCAATTTATTTCACCCCATCTTATCTCATCTCATCTCATCTCTCACCTCATCATCTCATCTCAATTCATACCATCTCATCTCATCTCAGCTCAGCTTATCTTTTCCTCTCCCTCCTTCCTCTCCTCTCCTCTTCTTCTCTCCTCTCCTCTCCTCTCTCTCCTCTCCTCTCCTCTCCTCTCCTCTCCTCCCCCCTCTCCTCCCTCTCCCTCTCCTCTCCTCTCCTCTCTCCTCTCCTCTCCTCTCCTCTCCTCTCCTCTCCTCTCCTCTCTTCTTCCCTTTTCTCTTCCTTCTTCTGTCCTCGCCTCTCGTCTGCGCCCTCTCCATTTCCATTCGTGTCCTGCCCACTGTCCCCCCCTTGTCTCCCGCCCCTCGCTTGCCCCCTCCTATCGTCAGCTCGGACAGGTCGGTATGCAGCAGAACCGGCGCAGTACCGGACGCCAGCTGCCCTGCCCGCGTCCACTGTCCGGCCGCCAAAGCCCGCCGGACACGACCAGGCATACACAGTCGTCGGCCGGCGCCCCTGACACCGCCCTGCAGGCGTGTGGCCTGGCGACCGTCGCCCCCCGCTGTCGCCCTAAAGTCGGGTCACCCGCTGGCGAGTGATCTGACGGCTGCCGCCCCCTGACGCTGCTCCCTGACACTGCCCGGCAGGCGGGTGGCCTGACGGCTGCCGCCCCTGACGCCGTTCCCTGACACTGTCCGGCAGGCGGGTGAACTGACGGACGAGCTGCTGGCGCTGACACAGGCCTGGTTCGCGGCCGTGGCGCCCCAGCCGCTCGACCTGGTCTGGGGCCTGGCGCGACAGCCGTTCCTGGACCTGCGCCTGGCGGCGCTGCGCGTGCTAGCCGCTGTCGCCGCGCTGGAGTGGGGCCAGCGGGTGTGTTTGGAACGTGCCGGTAGGTGGCAGCAGGTGGTGTCTGCTCCCGGGCGGCCGGGGCCGACCGGCGACGGTGGTCTGCGGGCGTCTTGGACTCGCTTGTCAATACATTTTAACGGTGAGATGTGTGTGGGTGGTCTCCGTGGGGATTTCCCACTCCGTTGCCCAACACGGAGTGGGGAAGGTTAATTACCCTCTCGCCAACGTGGGCTGCTTTCCACCGTTGTGGTTCCATGACCGCTTGGAAACACAGTGTGCGTGGTTCCCGGGCTTGGATTTTGTTAGGGCTCCCAAGATCCTGAACCGCAATAGGGTGATGCTGTTATCTCAGTTCGAGGAACGCAAGATTAGGACAGGCGCTTTGCCCCGAAAATGCGCCGTTTATAATCCCCTGATAATGAGTAGTATGCTGCATTAATCCATCATCCCGTCTCTGTCGCTAAGGGATGCAAACGATAAAACAGCGGGGACTGCTAGGCCATTCGCTGGATTCAAACTCTACGGAAGGCAATCTGCTGGGCCCAACCACACAGCTGACGGTTAGCTGACAACTGGCCACCGAGTGTGACTTGAGCGCGCGGAGCCCAGGGCTTGACACTGTGTGAGGCGTTCAACACTCGTCCATCGGGCCATCTTGTGTGATGAAAAGGCAGGAGGCAAAATAAGCCCCTGAACGTGTGCCGCGGGGCGTCGTTGGTCGGTTCAGGGTACACACAGTAACACACGTCGCTCATTACGCCCTCTGAGCACAATGACTCATACAAAGCCCCCGGAACGTGTATTTGTATTCAGCAGTGTGATTGTCTTATCGCAAGTGTTTCGTCACGTTTTTTTCCTTGGCTGCGTACTGCTCGCCTCGCAAATTTGACACAACGGTAAGGCGTATAAAACGTTTTGGAATTCTGTAGGGTCAGCTTCCTGTTGCCTGCGTTGTGTGAATTTTTGTAGGTCGTAATCTTATTTCGAAGTCTTCGAGTTTCAAGTTTGAAGATGTTATGTTGGCGAAGGCAGATCATGCGTGAAAGGCGTCCGGAAGTTTCCCGATCGCTATTAAAGGCGAACCGGCCGACCCACTTCGCCGTCCGCCGTGGCGGCGGAGGCGAGCGGTGGGAAAGTTTGATGAAAGCCACAGCGACGGGGATGTACGCAGCCCACCGAAACTGCCGACACCGTTTACAATAAACTCGGCCCGACTGTTGCCCTGACGCCGTTTACAATGAACTCGGCCCGACGGTTGCCCTGACGCTGTTTGCAATGAACTCGGCCCGACGGTTGCCTTGACGCTGTTAACAATGAACTCGGCCCGCCGGTTGCCTCGACGCTGCTTACAATGAACTCGGTCCGAAGGTTGCCCTGACGCTGTTAGCAGTGAACTCGGCCCGACGGTTGCCCTGACGCTGTTTACAATGAACCCGGCCCGACGGTTGCCTTGACGCTGTTAACAATGAACTCGGCCCGACGGTTGCCTTGACGCTGTTTACAATGAACTCGGCCCGACGGTTGCCTTGACGCTGCTTACAGTAAACTCGTGCTGACTAATGTCGCGGCTCTGCTTTCATGTCGTGCGATCGGACGAAACCCGTCAACGCCTCCGCAGTGTACACATTGTCTGACGACGGTCCCCGCGACATTTGCAATGCTTGCGATCTCACAAACCCCCTGACATTGCGTGATCACACGCTGCCGGACGAAGCCCCCGGCGCTATTTACAAAGTCCACTGCCCGACGAACCCACCAGCAATGTGTGCAGTGTACACTGTCCAAGGAGCCGGTAGCTGTGTTTGCGATGTTGGTCCGTGGCCCGGCGAAGACGCCGCCGCTGTTTACAAAGTGCACCACCCGGGCCATTTGTTGGGCGTCAACGCTGGCGGGTCGGCTAATCACCGCCGTCCCAGCCGGTGCTTTGGTCGATCTAGCCGCGTCCGTCGTCTGTCCGGCCCGCCCGGTCGATGGCCGTCGCGCCCGCCCCGCCCCGCCCCCGCCCCCGCTCCCGCCCGGCGAGTGACCCCGCTCGCCGCGCGCCGCCGCAGGGTTCCTGGAGTACCTGCTGGACCGCTCCACCGAGTCCAGCAAGGAGGGCCGGGACGCCAAGTTCGCCGTCGTGGCCGCCATCGTCGGTTCGGCCAGCAGCCGGCACGCGGTGGCGCCCAGCGCGCTGGCCCAGCTCAGCGCCTACCACGAGCAGGGCGCCTTCTACGTGCGCGCCACCACCGAGGTGGCTTTGGACGAGTCCACCTAGGAGAGCACAGAACGCAGCTCACGGGGCGGCCGTGGTCGGCGATTGGTGACAGGCAGACCGGCCGGGATTGGCGGCTGACAACCGACGGATCACGACTCAGGAATGACGGCCGACGTGTCACGAGCGGCGGATCACGACGGACATGTCACGGCTGATGAATCACACGGACGGTTCACGACTGACAAACCTCAGGTGACCGGTCACGATCACGACTGATAGACCACAGGTGACCGGTCACGATCACGACTGGTAGACCGCAGGTGACCGGTCACGATCACGACTGATAGACCACAGGTGACCGGTCACGGTCACGACTGACAAATCATTGGGGACCGGTCACGGTCACGACTGATAGACCGCAGGTGACCGGTCACGATCGCGACTGATAGACCGCAGGTGACCGGTCACGATCACGACTGATAGACCGCAGGTGACCGGTCACAATCACGACTGATAGACCACAGGTGACCGGTCACGGTCACGACTGACAAATCATTGGGGAACGGTCACGGTCACGACTGATAGACCACAGGTGACCAGTCACGGTCACGACTGACAAATCATTGGTGACCGGTCACGACCACGACTGATAGACCGCAGGTGTCCGGTCACGATCACGACTGACAAATCATTGGTGACCGGTCACGATCACGACTGATAGACCGCAGGTGACCAGTCACGGTCACGCCTGACAAATCATTGGTGACCGGTCACGATCACGACTGATAGACCTCAGGTGACCGGTCACGATCACGACTGATACACCTCAGGTGACCGGTCACGGTCACGACTGGTGAATGACAACTAACAAGTCACGACTGATGAATCGCGGGTCACGATTCACGAGTGACGGATCGCGACGGACGAATCACGGCAGCTGGACTACGGTTGATGAGCGATGAGTGCAGATCACGACTGAGGGCTCACATCGGCCGGATCACGAACGGCAGATCAGACGCCGCCCCAGCAGGGACTGCCGGCCGAAGTCAGTGAACGGCAGATCAGACGCCACCCCAGCAGGGACTGCCGGCCGAAGCCAGTGCCGTTGCAGTGCGGGTGCCCTTATTCCGGCGGCGTCCCTTGATGCCATGGACCCGCGTCGTGCCGTCGCGTCGCCAAGGTCGAGCTGACAGCCGTTTGTGATATTGTGGATGTGTTGGCACATCGGTGGGCACGTGGCCGGCCCCGCCGTCGGGAATACACGGGCTCGCGCCCGCTGGCTGCCTTTGTCGTGCTGGCCGCCGAGCTCTATCGCCAGGCCCGTGGGCTGAGCACGTGGGCTAAGCGTGCTGACTGCACGCTGTGTAGGCCGGTCGGCCACCACGGGGTCACCTCTCGGTCGGGTGGGTTCTGCGCGCAGGATGTCTGTATTTCGCCCTCTTCGCCGGAGCAGAGGGGCGGGGAAGGGGTTACGTTTGGCACGATACCCTTGGCAGTTCGCTACAAAAAAAGAAAGGAGATGGTGCTCATTTCGTTTTGTACAACTTTAGCTGTCATTGTTTGGGATGTTGCGGCTAATTTCCTTAGTTGGATTGAGCGAGATCAAATCATGTTTTTGCCGTCTCCATACGGCTTTGCGTTTGTCCGCGAAGCAAATAGGATGCAAGTCATAGCATGGGAACAATTATCTCCAAGAAGTGATGAGTTGCCAGGGTTCCTCCCGTGGCCTCAAATGGCCTTGGCCGGAGACTTACTAGCAATTCGACTTGAAGGCATGACGACACACCGATAATTTTCACATGAGCGATGATCCTCGTCTAGACCTTCCACAGTTCGTACCTTGAAAAGTCCACTCTCAGCATATTGACCAGTGTGGAAGGCGTTACCTGATGGGACGATGATCTTGAATTATTTTTCCGACGCAGTGCAACTTCTCAGTCATGTCGCCTTGTCATCGTACAGGTTGAGGCTGCTCTGACTAAATTTCGAGATATGTCACGGTACATTGACTTTGGATGACTAAGAAAGGTCGCGAGCATTTGTAACGTGCATATCGTAATTGCTTTATATGTTCAGGACCGCTGGGCGTTCAGCTGCAAACAGAGCTAAGATGCGTCATTAAGTGCCGAATTCTCATATTTTTCATCTTGCGTGGCTTTCAGAACGACGTCATAGGCCTCTGAACTGACGCGGTAGGAATTTTAAACACGCAGGTCAAGTGTAAAAATTGAGGCAACTTGCTTGAATTACAGTGTGATGGTCACGTTAGTTCGGGAGATAATATCAAAAGAAAATATGATTACACAGCGATGTTCACATCAACCGTCTGCATTAGCGAGGCCTCAAGTTTATGTCACGATTATTCTTAGCCATGGTGAAGCTTGGCTTGCAGGCGTTTTGGCCACATTTTTGACGTTTTTGGGTCATTTTTGATATTTTTGCAGGCCTTTTGGCCACGTTGGCTACATAGTGGCCCACTACTTTGCGCTGGGTTAAAACGCTCACGTGGTGTATTCCGCATTGGTATTTTCTTGATATTTCGCTTCCTTTTCTCATAATTGGATCGAGTGATTGCTGTAATGTGGATGTGTGTCTGTGATGTGGGTGTGTCAACATGGTACTCCTTGCTCATGTGTGGACGCTGTTGTCACTGTCGTGCATCATAGTTACGCTGGGTTCTGCAACTTGCCCCTCCTGTTCATTTGTTGCATCACTTACTGTTCACGGTCTGCGCAACGATCAACTAACGGCTCTGCATCCATACTGCAAAGTTTGGTTCCTATCCCATACCATGAGGCGGTCCACACTCGCAGCGTGGTTTAACAACATGCCCGCATGGAACTACGCATCGAGTAAGCCATTTCGCATCCCAGTGGAGGCCGCCATTGATGCGTTATGCCATCAGCCGACCCACCGCCGTCCCCGTTCACCGCTCTTCCAAACCTGCCATCTCGGGGAACGCGCCATTCAACGCGCTGCCACGCAAGCGGGCACGAGCGGCGCGGGCCGGCAGCTGCCGCTCAGAGTGGCACAGACCTCCCGAGTCGCGGCCGCCTTTCAGCCGAACGCCGCTGTAGGTTCTGGCCTGCTTCAGGCGTTCGTGGTGCAAAGAGCTCTCGGTGGGTGCTGGTGCTGCGTTATTATCTCGGCAAAAGTGCTGGCGTTATTGGTATTGGACTGGCTTCTGAAGGCGGCTCCTCACCGCTGTGAAGAAGCTGAAGCTGAATGCCGCGTCACAATATTACATTTGGCGCCGAATAGCATCAGGTGGGATAAGCCGATCAACAACCACAATGGGGGTCGCGAATTGTCACAAGAGCTTTCACGGCGGAAATGATCATTGTGTGGCGTCCTCCACCCAGAGGCATCGTAATCAGCTCACTGGTTTTGACAAGCGACGATCAAATATATGTTGTTGGTCTGTTATTGTGAGAATGCAAAGAAAAAGATTTGTGGCATTCAGATGCGCCGTTTCTGAAGTGAGACAACTTAAGCTATAACCGACTGGGAGTGTGCACGACTTTCTCCATCCAGATCGAGTTCATCGGCATTGGACCAGGTGCGTGAGTACACCTTGGCGCACTTCTCAGAGTTAGAGACACCCAACGAAAGCTCAACTTTGGGCGGGGGAGGGGGGCTGGAGCGGCTCCAACTGAATACGAACTACACCCTTGCATTGGGCATATTAGCAGGCACGCTGACTTAAATTATGCAAACTCACTGTCAATTTCTTAATCCGGCTTCATTCTAATCAGTGTTTATTTTCCCGACCTGTTCAGTTAAGTCCATTGCTTAATTAAAACCAATGGATTCGTTAAAATCATGGAAGCATCAGTCCACATGTATAGTGCTCTCGAAACGCTGCATTCGCGTCATGCATTGCATAAGCCAGTGGTGGAGGGATCTGCGACGACGAAGCGCGTGCGGAATGGGGGATCGGCACGAGCGCGGCATCGAATGCTCGAGGGGGGGGGGGGGGGGCCGCTAGAGCAGCCACCCCACGCGCGGAAGGGGTGCGTTTCGGTGTCGAACGCTCGGAGGTTCGCTAGAGCAGCCATCCCACGTGCGGAAGAGGCGCGTTTCGGCGTGGAACGCTTGGAGGCCCGCTGGAGCAGCCACTCCACGCGCGGAAGGGATGCATTCTGGCGTGGAACGCTCGGAGGCCCGCTAGAGCAGTCATCCCTCGCGCGAAAGCGGTGCGTTTCGGCGTCGAACGCTCGGAGGTTTGCTAGAGCAGCCACCCCTCGCGCGGATGGGGTGCATTTCGGCGTTGAACGCTGGGAGGCCCGCCGGAGGAGCCGCTCCACTCGGCACGCCATGTTGCAGAGCACTGGTGCGTGGTCTCTGCACGTCTCGGGTGTATCGAGCCGCACCAGCAACAGGGCACAGCACGAACCAATTAAGGGGGAGGGGGGGGGGGGGGCAGATCGGGACTTGTTCCTCGGAGGATGCCTGCTATTGGGGCGGTTCTTCCCCTTGTGCGGAAAGCCCGCCTGACAAGATATGCTGTGATGACTAGAGACCGTTTTTTTTGTGTTCTCGTTTAAGATGTATGTGTTGTATGTGAAACATTATGGCGAAATATGTTAATGAAAACATTGAGATGTCATCCGGAGCAGGCTTTGTTCGCCTTAATTCTACTGCAGCAAGTATCAGACCACTTGCCCTTTTCATTCCGAGCAGCTGACCGAGCGTATAATGGTCTGGAGACAATAATACCATACAGCTTTCCTTCAGTTAAATACCGCCTTTTGTCCGCCAAAGCATCGCGGTACAGAGAGATCAAGTTCTCCACGGCGACACTGGCGACGGGGGCGAGTTGGAAGACCGCCAAATACCCTGGCGGCATGACGGACGAACGCACTTCACTCGCAACCTCTACCTGTGGTGTTTCACCAATGATCTTCAGAAGCATCAACTCAAAATTCCTGACAAGGACGTACTGCATTTTCACCGACAGCCATGGATGGCTTTTCTCGCCCGGTACGCCATCAATAGAAATCGTCACGGCGCCCAGCAGAGAGAGAGCACATCATGCACGAGCTGACTGGTCGTCTCCAGCCTCGTCAGCGCCCCAGGGATGAAGCTCACATGTGTCAGCCAAGACGCTGGCTCTCCACCGCGCCCGGCGTTACGCATGATTGCTTGTGCTTTCTTAGTGGCAGCCGCTTCTGCCGGCTCTAGTTTCTCCAGCATGGTCCGCACCTGCTCGGGATGTTTGGCATGATAGATGGCCGCTTCTATCTAGATACTCCATCGTGTTAGAATCGGTTCGGATCGCATCAGAATCGGTGGTAGCGCCAGACAGGATACATTCCCCCTCAAATGGGCGTCACGACATTAGTGCCACGACAAAAGCTTCTACCGACAGGAGGGCTATGACAGTGGTTATACATTACATTACTTCCACTGCAAGGAACTCATACAGACCTTGTTTACATGCGACAGTGCTTCTACTCTTCGATTAACAATCACAGTTTCTGATTACTGACTTTGAGCAGGTGCCTAACGCAATCTACAATGGCGTTCTGTCATGAAATATTTTGGGAAAAGTGATCACATGTTGAGCAGGGCTGTCTCAACATCTGGTAAGAATTCCTTCGTGATTTACGTAAAGTGTACGAAATCCTCATGATAAAAAAGTGGCCGTTACCTTTACAATGGTGAATGCCGTCTTGCATGCTGGAGTTTTCTCTCAGGCCCAGAACCACGTATTGTACATGCACCAGATGACATATTTGGAGACTTTAAAAAAAGTCCAGCGCTGGTGTAAAATTTTGATGACGAAATTTGTACTCAAAAATGAAAAAATAATTTGCGCATAATATCCTGTCAGTGATGCAGCTCCGCTCCCCACTACCATTAATATTTAACGACAGTGTTCACCACAGTCTGTTTTTTTATAAAAATTGTCCCAAAGCTGGGACGCTCTTGAAAGACAGTTGGTACGTGCTCCGGTAAATCGCCGAGTTTACATAGTTGTCCTTACCTCCACTCCTGGAGAAGGTTCTTCGCGAACAAACAAAGTCGCTTCTGTTCCACTTTCGTGCTCCCAGAAACACGCCTCGAAGACGGCTTTGACAGTGGAATGAGGCACCGATGGGGGTCGTCGCATTCTTTGTCCAGCGCAGCCACCCCCCGTCGGGCCCGGCACTGCCTGTGAGTTGGAGCGACGCCCCTGTCGCCAATGTGGACGCTCGTGAAATATTTCGCAACTTGTCTCATGCTGGGAAATAAATGACGCCGATCGGACGCGATAGTCGAATTTGTGGAGCCGGC